CCCATATCCTGCACTCAATTTTTGCCTATGACGACTTTTATTTTGTAATTTTTTTTATTTTACTCTTTTCGAAATTTTTAGCTTTATTTAAAGTTTTAGTGACTCAGCATTTTTCTTGTAGGTTTTGATGTTTGTCCACCTGTTCACAGGAGAGAGCGTGGAGGAGAACGCCAACGTGGTGGTGCGTCTGCTCATCCGACGGCCGGAGTGCTTCGGCCCCGCCCTGCGAGGAGAGGGGGGCAACGGCCTGCTGGCTGCCATGGAGGAGGCCATCAAGATCTCAGAGGACCCGGCGAGGGACGGGCCGACCGTTAAAAAGGACCGGCGCTTCATGTGAGCGCCGGAGGAGGACGAGGGTCGGCAAACGAGCTCGTCAGGAGCGATTTGCGTGATTTTTTATTTTCTGTTTGGTCGGCAGGTTCGGCGGCGAGGGACAGCACGAGGAAAACCGTGTGCACCTGGGGAACGCCATCATGTCCTTCTACTCTGCGCTCATCGATCTGCTGGGCCGCTGCGCTCCTGAGATGCATGTGAGATGAGTTTAAACTTCATGAACCGTTTTTGTTTTTAAGAATCAAGCTGCAAACTGAGGTCGTCTAAACATCCAACTGAAACCTGTTTTTTTTTTACCCAGTCAGCAGTTTTTGAGACRTTTATTCCAAAGCCAGACTTTAGATTCATTCAGCTTCTTGTCCCTGCAGCTGATCCAAGCAGGTAAAGGTGAAGCTCTGAGGATCCGGGCCATCCTGAGGTCTCTGGTGCCCATYGAGGACCTGGTGGGAGTAATAAGTCTACCTGTACAGATCCCCGCCTACGGCAAAGGTCAGAGGTCATCTTCTTCTGTTTGATCATGTTTCCTGCTTTCACTTCAGTCGAACCATGTTTTACATTGAGCTGTTTTAGCTCCTCGTAAATCAAAATGTTCAGCTCCCGTTAGCCTTCAGCTAGCATTTATCTTCTTAAGCTTTTAGCAAGAACATTACTCAGTTTAGCTTCTAGCTAGATTCTGCTTTTTTAGCCTTTGGCCCGCAATTCGTTACTTATGCTTTTAGTTAGACCTTTGCTCAGTTCAGTTTTTAGCTAGCATTTTGCTCATTTTAGCTATTAGCTAGCAATTTGCTAATTTTAGTTTTTAGCTAGCATTCTGCTCTTTTAAGCTTTTAGCCAGTGTTCTGCTCATTTTGGCTTTCAGCCAACATTTTACTCAGTTTAGTGTTTAGCTAGCATTCTGCTCTTTTTAGCTTTTAGCCAGCGATTTGCTGATTTTAGTATTTAGCTAGCATTTTGCTAATTTTTGCCTTTAGCTAGCATTTTGATAAGTATAGCTTTTAGCCAGCATTTTGCTCATTTTAGTATTTAGCTAAATTGTGCTCAGTTTTTAGCTAGCATTCTGCTCTTTTTAGTTTTTAGCCGACATTTTGCTCATTTTAATGTTTTGCTAGCATTTTGCTAATTTTTGCCTTTAGCTAGCATTTTGATTAGTATAGCTTTTAGCCAGCATTTTGCTCATTTTAGTATTTAGCTAAATTGTGCTCAGTTTTTAGCTAGCATTCTGCTCTTTTTAGCTTTTAGCCGACATTTTCCTCATTTAGGTTTTTAGCTAGCATTTTGCTCATTTTAATGTTTTGCTAGCATTTTGCTCATTTTAGCTTTTAGCTAGCATTTTCCCCCTCTTCATGTTTTTGCTTGCATTTTCTGCCTTTTAACTGTAGCTAACATTGTTCTGTTTTTAGCTAACATTTTGCTTTCTTTCAGTTTTAAAGTCTTAGTTTYCACTTCCATGTTGCTATAATTGTTATTAAGAACTGAGCATTTCTCCAGTTCTGACTCCGCCCCTCCAATCCACAGACGGTCAGATCATCGAGCCCAAGATGTCTGCCAGTTTTGTCCCGGACCACAAGGCTTCCATGGTTCTGTTCCTTGACAGAGTCTACGGGATCGACAACCAGGACTTCCTGCTCCAYGTGCTGGAGGTGGGCTTCCTGCCCGACATGAGAGCTGCAGCTTCTCTGGACACGGTGAGTAGCTGAGGTCCAGGTTTGGGTTCTGCTGGAGACGTGTCAGAGTGAAACAGTTCTTCCTGTCTGTTTGTAGGTGGCCTTCAGCACCACAGAGATGGCCTTGGCTCTGAACCGCTACCTCTGTTCGGCCGTTCTTCCTCTGCTCACCAAGTGCGCCCCGCTGTTTGCCGGGACGGACCACAGGGCCATCATGATCGACTCCATGCTGCACACCATCTACCGCCTGTCCCGCGGCCGCGCCCTGACCAAGGCTCAGAGGGACGTCATCGAAGAGTGCCTGATGTCGCTCTGCAAGTCAGTTTCACTCCTCAGATTAACCAGATGTGTTTGTTTTTACTGAAACTTTAAATGTATCATTAATTTCCCACATAAGAGAAATGAAGWGTAGATGTGACCGCAGAACGCCACGAGGATCTAACGAAGTGTTTATGTGTCGGTCACAGATACCTCCGACCCTCCATGCTGCAGCATCTGCTCAGAAGGCTGGTGTTTGATGTTCCCATCCTGAACGAATACGCAAAGATGCCTCTTAAGGTTTGTATTGTTCCACAAGCAACCAAAGAAACTAAAAAGACTGCAGGAAAATATTATAGAAACCAGATTATGAGACGTTGTTGGGTAATTCAGGGGCGTATAATCTCAAGTGTTTCTTTGGGATAAATCTTGTGTCAGCAGGAACTAAACTTGAATTTCTCAGATTGAATCTGAATGTTCATAATTTAAACTGAATTCATTGGTTTGAAAATAAATTACACTAAATTGAAACTGAATTTAAAGTTTTGTATCTGAATTAATTTGYTTTGAAACTGTATTTTGGTTTATTAAAAATTCAGTTTGACTACTTTCACTTTCAGTTCCATAATTCAGATTTTTGTGTCACATCCTGGTCCTTGA